TCGTCATCGTCATTGTCGTCATGGGGTGGTCCCTCGCCGTCGTCGTCGTCGTCGTCGTCGTCGTCGTCAGCGTCGTCGCCGCCGTCGTCGTCGTCGTCGTCGTCGTCGTCGTCGTCGTCCTCATCATCATCATTGTCGTCGGGGGCTGGTCACTCGCCGTCGGCGTCGTCTTCATCATCATTATCGTCAGGGGGTGGTCCCTCGCCGTCGTCGTCGTCGTTGTCGTCGCCGTCGTCGTCGTCGTCGTCGTCGTCGTCGTCGTCGTCGTCGTCGCCGCCGCCGCCGCCGCCGCCGTCGTCGTCGTCGTCGTCGTCGTCGTCGTCGTCGTCGTCGTCGTCGTCGTCGTCCTCGTCATCGTCATCATCGTTGTCCTCATCATCATCGTTGTCGTCGGGGGTGGTCCTTCGCCGTCGTCGTCGTCGTCGTCGTCGTCGTCGTCGTCGTCGTCCTACCCTCCGGGGCCGACGCCAGGCAGGGCCAGATTCGGGCAGCGAGCGAACCACGACAGCACGAACACCACAGCTCAAGCGACTTATCGCTCTGCCTCGTTTCGTTTTCCCCCCTCGTCGCTTGTTGCCTCCTTGTCTCTTCTCCTTGGCCTTGTCGTCTCTGGGCTTTTCGTCTCGTCCTCCTACCTCTTCCTCTCTCCATGTCTTCGAGTATCTGGTGCAGCTTCGACAGCAATGGGTACCTGCAGATTCCAGCAACAAAAACAACAGCTCAATCGACGTGCGACGGTTATTTAATCGCTTCGCTCATTCCGCCGGCCCATACAGTCTCATGTCTGCCGTTTGCCCGAGGGCCTGGTGTCAATGCGGCGCTTTGGGGGTTATAAGCCTGTTGGATGTTCGTTGGGATACCGTGTGCTCGCGGCAGCGTTTTGGGGGCTTCCTGTGGCCGCTTGGGGGCCTCTTGGTGGCTTCTTCGGGGCCTTCTGAGGGGCTCTTGGGGGCCCATGGGGGCCTCTTGGGGACCTCTGGGGGCCTCCCGGGAGGCTCTTAGGACTGAGGGCTCGAAATGTTGTTTCGTGTTCCCCCTCTGGGGCCGTTCTTGGGGCCCTCTTGGGCCGTCTTGGGGGCGTCTTGGGCTGTCTTGGGGCGCTCTTGGGCCGTTTTGAAGCCCTCTTGGGAGCCTTTTGGGCCGTCTTGGAGCGATCTTTGGGGCCTCTTTGGTCGTCTTGGAGCGTCGGGAAGCGGAAAAGGCGAGAATGCGAGAATCCTTCAAAAACCTGAGGAAAATCTATGAATTTTGCCTTTTGGGGACCTCTTGGCAGGGCTCTTGGAGGCTTCTTGGTGCGTCGGGGAGCCATCTTAGGCGTTTTGGAGCGATATTATGGCGTCTTGGAGCTCTGTTGGACCATATTGAGGGCCTCTTGACGGTCTCTGAGCTCTTCTCGGGGCTCTTGGGAGGCCCTGAGGGCGGCGCCCAGGAGCAGAACCATCCCCGACAGGGAGTTGCCCAGGGACCTGGTCAGGGTACTTTTCGTCCGGGGACCCCCAGGGGCCGCCCCGCGCGCGCGAACTAGAAAATTGTTAAGCAGTTACCGGAGATCTTAGCACGCCTCTGGCCCGTTGGGCCGGCGAATTAATCGCTGGGGGCACTGAACTTTGATTGCGAAATGAGCCCGCCCATGTGTCACATCTTTGAGGCCACGGCCTCCACGCCATGCTCTCATGGGCACAGGCGGGCTCCCAGAGGAGCGTGCACGACTCTGGCGTTTCTTTCGCTTCGCTGCTCCCCTCACCAAGGGTGTCCGCGGTTGGGTCGGCCTCCTGCGCAGGCCGGTAACGGCCCGGCCCGCCCCAGCGGGACGTCTCCGCGCGTCGTTCGTTCGTTCATTCATTCGTTCCTTCCGCGGTTGGGTCGGTTCGGCTGCGTCGCAGCGGGTTGTTTCATGTCGGGTTCGGTCCTGTCCGTTGTCGCGTCGTCGCTGCGCCGCCGCGCCCTTCTAGGCCGCAGGCTGCCTGTCTGTTTCGATCGGCTTCGGTCTCGCTGTCCGGATCGGACGGTTTCGGTCGTGCTGTCGCCGTGGACCTCCTGGGGCAGGCGACCTGTTACCCTCGCGACCTTGCCATGCATGTGTGCATGTGCCGCTTTCCGTGTCGCGTCTCTCTCCTTCCTGCCTCTCTTCCTCCCGCCCTCCTCGGCCCCCAGGCATGCCCTGGAGCCCATCCTGACCAGGGACCGAGGCGAACCCAGCTGTCGCGATAAGGGTCCCCATGAGGCCTAAAATAGGCGAAACTCGTCAACGTTGTCCTCTACCTTATGCTGCTGTTCAGAAAAAGTGGCGTGCTGTTTCATCGTCGATTTCTTCACGCTCTTTCCCCTTCACGTCTCTAACCTCAGTGCCTGCCCCCAAGCATCCCGTTGGATCCTCCAGAACTTCCGAAGACTGCCGAAAACCATAAATTCTTGACGCTTCGCGTATCCCCACCAGCTCATACCGCCCTTTGGACTTCTCCTTGCGGGCCGCAAATAAAAAAAAGGTATTCCCACCAGCCCATCCAGAAACGATCAGCGGGGGAGTCGGTGAATCAGGGGCGGCAGGACGCATGCAGTCGCGCAGTCGTCTTCGAGAAAACAAGGATCACACACATAGCTTCCCGCATTGAAGTTTAAGATGGGAATCAGTGCAAGCTACGATGGTGCTTCGATGAGGGGTGAGGGGTGTTTCGATGGCTCGTAATGGCTGTTGCACTGATTTGTGTCTTAAACTCGCGTGCGTTCCGAAACTTGGAGGCATATTGGGGCTCTCTTGGGATTCTCGGGGGCTCCTCTTGGGGCCTCCTGGGGCTCTTTCTTGGGGCTCTCCTGAGGTTCTCTTAGGGCCTTCTTGGGGCTTCTTGGGGCTCTTTTGGGGCGTCTTGGGGCCCTCTTAGGGCTCTTTGGGGAGGTCTGGGGGCCTTCTTGGGGCTCTTTTGGGATGCCCGAGGGGCCTCTTGGGGCCGTCTTGGTCCTTATGGCTAAAGAAGGGGGAGGGGGGGGGGCTCAATTCTTGTCCCCCCCTCGGAGGCTCAAACATGCCGTCTTGGGACCCTCTTGGCCCGCTCTTGGAGCGCTCTTGGGCGCTCTTGGGGCCGTCTTGGGGCTCTCTTGGGCCCCTCTTGGGGCTGTCTTGGGCCATCTTGGGGCCATCTTGAGGCCTCAAGAGCCCTTCGGAGGCGAAACAGCGAGAAGGCAAACTACGTTGATTTTCCATAGGTTTTTGAAGGATTCTGGCCTCTTGGGGGGGTCCTTGGAGGCCTCGGAGGGCACTTGAAACCGTCTTGGGGCCGTCTTGAGGCCTCTTGGACGCGTGTCGGAGGCTATCTTGACCCGTCTTCCGCTATCTTGGGCCATCTTGGAGGCCATCTTGCGCTCTCGGAGGCTCTCTTGGAGCCATCTTGTGCCATCTTGGACGCTGCTATGGGTCCGTCCCCCCCCCGTCCAAACGCAGGAGGGGGGGGAGGTAAACCTCCCGAGCAGGGAAAGGCAGGAGGTTGGAAAGGGAAACGCCCTAGACCACCTGCGCCCAGAGGGCTGGTGGGATTACGTCAGTCCTCCTCCTCCTCCTCCTCTTCCTCCTCCTCCTCCTGTTCGTCCTCCTCTTCGTCCTTCGTCTTCCATTTCTCCCCTGTCGCCGTCCTCGGCGGCGTCGTCGCCGTCGTCGTCCTCCTCCTCCTCCTCGTCCTCTGTCTCCCTCCACTTGTCCTCCTGTTCTCTGTCCTCCTCGTCGTCGTCCTCGTCCTCGTCCTTCTCCTTCTCCTTCTCTGCCCTCCTTCTCTGCCCACGGGGGAGGGGGGGCAGGGGCAGGAGTAATGAGAAGAGAGGAGGAGGCGGAGGAGGAGGGCGGGGGGTCGACGATCGAGGGTTTGAGGATCGAGGGTTGATCAGGGGCAACGTTAAGGGACGAGAGGCTCAGGGGGAGATGCGTCGACCCCTCCAATCGTCCGCTCATCGCCGATAGGTGCCGGAAACTCCCCGCCCAGGAGCGTGCGAATTTGGTATCGGGGGCCTATCGCCGATCTATGGGCGATGTATCGCCGATTCCAGCAGGGGAGCAGGCGGAGCCGAGGAAGCGCAGCCATGAACTGAGGCGCGTGGGTTAGCGACGGGCTCTGTTTCCAGGCAGAGTCGGCGCGCTCCGTCTCAGAATGGGGCGGCACGCGCGGCACGTTTCGGACCTCGGATCTGGCGCCCACGCGCTGGATCCAGGGATCCGTAATTTTAGGTCAGAGTGTGCCCGAGAAGAGGAGGCCGAGGAGGGTTTTTTTCGATAGTCGAGGGCTCGAGGATCGATGGTAGAGGCTTGTCGGCGCGCTTCTTGCACTTTCTGGGCCCCGCTGGTGTGGGAGTCTCGTGGCCACGGCTGGATTCCTTCGGAGTTCTCGCCAGAACACAGCCAGGGAGAGGTCGGGGGGGGGGGCGGTTTTTGAAATTAGGAGGAGGAGGAGGAGGAGGAGGAGGAGGAGGAGGAGGAGGAGGAGGAGGAGGGAGGAGGAGGGAGGAGAAAGAAGAGAAGGGAGGAGAATGAGGATGGGTGAGGATGAGGATGAGGGGGTATCGACTGCCTCCGCCCTGCCACTTCGTCCCTCCCCTCCTTTTCCCGCGCCGCCGCCGCCGACGACGCCGACGCCGCCGCCGACGACGACGATGAGATGAGGACGACGACGACGCTGACGCTGACGCTGACGCTGACGCTGACGCTGACAACGCTGACGCTGACGCTGACGCCGACGACCGACGCCGACGACCGACGCCGACGACCGACGCCCGACGACTGACGACCGACGACCGACGACTGACGACCGAAGACCGGCGACCGACGACCGATGACCGACGACCGACGACCGACGACCGATGACCGACGACCGACGACCGACGACCGACGACCGACGACCGACGACCGACGACCGACGACCGATGACCAACGACCGACGACCGATGACCGACGACGACGACGACGGCCGACGACGACGACGACGTCGATATCCACGCCGTATCGGCCCCGCCCCCTCTCCGGATAACCTGTCCTTGTCGGTTGCGCATCGGTTGCGCAGCTTCGAAGGGGGTACGCAGTGCGGGGTGCGTGCGGGCATGCGCGCGGCTGCCCACAGCGAGCGAGGCAAGGGATCGCCTCCCCCCTCGATAGACCGGACTCTCGCCGGCAATGTGAACGCACGTCCTCGTGCTGCCGCTGGGCCTCGCCCGGCCGCGCACGCGGCCGCCGCGCGCGCCAGGCCGGCTTCGCCCCGCCCCTCGCCGTGCACTCCGCGCGGGCCTTCGCGGAGGGCGCCGCGTCCCCGCCCGGCGTCGACCTGTGCGTCTCGCCGCTGGAGCGCGCCGCGGGCGCCCCCTCGGTGGGCCCTCGGCGGCCCCGCGGGGTGGCCCGCGGGCGGTCCCGCCAGCGGCCGCCGGCCCGCGGCCGCTGCCGTCGTTGATCGGCCGTCGGCCGTGGGCCACCGCCGCCGCCGCCGCCGTCGCCGTCGTCGTCGGCGTCGTCGTCGTCGTCAAATCCTTCTCTTCCTCCTCTTACGCTCGTCTCCTCCTCCTCCTCCTCCTCCTCCTCCTCCTCCTCCTCCCCCTCCTCCCTCCCCCTCTCTTTCTCCTCCTGCTTTCCCTCCTCTTCTGCATTCCTTCGGAGAGGGGTTCCGCCCCGCCTCCCCCCCTTTACCCTGTTTCTCTGAGATGAGCTGTGTTGGCACGACCTGCCTCATCCTGCGTGAACCCGTGCACGCATTTCTGGGCCTCTCTCCCTAGTCTCCCCAGGGCACTCGTCGCCGCTGCCAGGTTCGCCTCGAAGCCCTGGCCTACACGCGCTGCGGGAGAGGTCGGGGTGGCGGCGTGTCGGGGTGGCGACGTGGAGGCCTCGGGACCAGGCTGTCGTCGCCGTCGCCGTCGTCATCGGCCGTCGGCCATCGTCCTCCTACAGTGGGGACGCGCACCAAGAAACCGAAGGCTTTCCGTCAGGGTGCACTTGGTTTCTTTGCTCCGCGCGCTGCACGGTGGCTTCCTGTGGCCGTTGAAGGGAGCTGCTGCGCTCAGGGTGCTTGGGGCTCCCCGTGCTTTGGGCTCCCCCCCACCTCTACATCTCGCGCTGGCGGGTTTCAGGGCTGAGTTTCTTGCGAGGGTTCCTCGCGGCCGCGTCCGCACTGTGCCTCCTCTCTCGCTCCCTCCTCGTCCCCCCGCAGCAGCTCTTGCTCCCCTCGCCCGTTCCTTCTCGTCCCTCCTCGTCCCCTACTTGTCCTCCTCCTCGTCCTCCTCGTCCTCGTCGTCGTCGTCGTCCTCCTCCTCCTCCTCGTCCCCCCCCCCCCCTCCTCGTCCTCCTCGTCCTCGTCGTCGTCGTCGTCGTCGTCCTCCTCCTCCTCGTCCCCCCCCCCCTCCTCGTCCTCCTCGTCCTCTCCTCGCCCCCTCCTCCTCCCCTCCTCCTCCTCCTCCTCCTCCTCCTCCTCCTCCTCCTCCTCCTCCCCTCCTCCTCCTCGTCCACTCCTTGTCCCCTCCTCTCTCGCTCCTTCCTCGCCCCCTGCCACAGCAGCTCCGGCTCCAGCTCCTCGCCCCCTGGGGTCGGAGGCGGAGGGCGGCTCAGGACCGAGCCAGCAGCCAGGCAGTTTTCGGTGGCCTGCGGGTATGGCCTCCTCCTGAGATCCTGGCGTTGCAGTTTTTTCGAGCTGTCGGAGGCCCAGAGGTTGGCACCAACACCAAGATCGGCAGTATGCCTCCACCGAGGGAAGCTGATCCCAGTCTTGGTGATGGTGGTAATATTTGGGCTTCCTAGGTGGCCGAACGATTGCCACCAACACCAAAATCTAGGATCATCCTCCCCTGGTGACCGCAATCCCCTGTTTTCGTGTCGGTGTCCATTTGCGAGCCTCCAAAGCTGGGCGTCTCCGCCAGATTTCGGGCCCTGAGACCCTCACGGATCGATCCGGCTCGAAGCATGGAGCCGAACGATGGGGTCTTCTGTTTTGGGCCAGATTTTGTTTTTTTGCGACGCTGCAGTTTTTTGTCGCAACGTTGGATCTCAGGGCTCGTCTGCTGGCCTCTGACCCCTGCGATGGTCCGGGCCTCCAGACGGGGTCCGAGCCGGGGGGCGTCGCAGAGTCGCGCCGCATCGCCGATGCCTCGGCGAGATGCATCGGCGATGCGGCTGGGCGCGGAGCCGAATGTTCTCCACGCCGACGGCGCCGATGCATCGCCGGCGTCGCCGGTGCATCGCCGATGCGGCGCGAGCCTCGGGCTCCATGTGCTCGGACCCCGTCTGGGAGGGCTCCAGATGGCGATCTTGTCTCGCCCTGCTCTCGCCTGCGAGCGCTGGGCGGCACGAATTAAACGAATGTCGCCACCGGCAAGCTTCGGGGTGCTCGGCAGCGCCGCGACGGTGTGCATCTGCGGCCACCTCATCCTCTGATCGACGAGGAAGCAGCTTTCAGGCGCTGCGTCTGTCGGATTAACTCACTCGGTTGCAACTCCTGGGAGGGTGGATTCAGCATCGGCGCTGGTATATCCTTGGCGTCAGAAGGTTCCAATCTGGATTAATCCCTCGGTCCCGCTTAGGCAGGCTGTAGAGCGGCTTTCATCTGGCCTGACCCTGCTTGATTTCGAGGCCCCCAAACCGTGTGGTGACGGACCGCGTGGTGACCGGAATCCCCAACGGCCTCGCCGCACGGTCCGTCACCGCACGGTTCAGGACCCTGGAGGCTCCAGCCGCCCGAGACGTCTTCGGAGAACGACCCGAGCCCCCAAACCGCGCGGTTGCCCCGAATCCCCATTGATTCACCACGGAGTGGTCACCGCACCGATGGTGGCTCCCCCGTGGAGGACCCCTTTGGTCGGGCCCAGTTGCTTGTACTCCTTACGGACACCTCCCGGAGGTTGCCCCCTTAACTCAGCCACGCGCAGAGGGGGGTGGGGGGAGGGGGGGGGCTTCTTAGAAGCACCCCTGCTTCTTAGAAGGCGCGGGCCTTATCTATAGACGTAAGGCCGGCGCCTTCTAAGAAGCAGCCTGCTTCTAAGAAGCCCCCCTCCCCCCCTCCCCCTCTGCGCGCCGCCAATTTACACACGGAGGATGCGTCGGCAGCACTGCTGAACCATCTGCTTTTCGGCGTGTTGGTCGCGGCCCGGCAGCCTGCAACAAACGTCGAGTAGGCCCGGCCAGTGCCTGATAACGACGCTACGATGATGCCGGCTCCGCCTCCGCCCTCTTCCGTCTCCTTCCTCCGTCTTCCTACCTCGTCCTCTGCTTCCTCTCTCTCTCTCCTCCTCGTCTTCGCCCTCCCCTCCCCCGCCCTCTCTGCCCGCCTCTGCCTCCTGTGCTTTCTCCCTGCTCCTCCTTCGTCGTCCTCCTCCTCCTCCGTCCTGCGTCCTCCGTCCTCCTCCCTCCCTCCTCCGTCCTCATCCCTCCTCTTCCTCCTCCGTTCGTCTCCGCCCTCGTCACCTCCCTCCTCCTCCCTCCTCCTCTCTTCTTCCTCTCTCTTTTTTCCCTCCTATCCCGCCCCGCTCCTGGAGGACCGCCTGCTGCTCCTGGACGCGCAGCCCCTCTTCTGCTGCGAGAGCGACCCGGACATGGAGCTGAAGTCCCGCCCCCCTCGCGGCATTCAGGAGGTGTCGGGGGTGAACAGACCTCCTACCCTGACACGTCGATTAGCGAATTGGCCGTTTTGGTTCGCGAGAGGGCGTCGCGGTCGTCATTTTTGCGGGTCCAGGTCCGTCGGTTTCGGTCCCAGGCCGTTTTCACTAAAGGGAGGTTTACTAAAGGGAGGTTTGTTCACCGCCGAAGGTGGCGAAGGATGGAGGAGGAGCGAGGAGGAGCAGGGGACGGATGATGAGGATGAGGATGAGGATGAGGATGATGAGGATGTTGCTGAGGATGCTGCTGCTGCTGCTGCTGCTGCTGATGATGATGCCGATTATGATTCATGACGATGACGCGACGGCGATGCTGCGTTTGATGATGACGATGATGATGCTGATGATGTTGATGTTGATGATGATGATGATGATGATGATGATGATGATGATGATGATGATGATGATGATGATGGTGATGATGATGATGATGATGATGATGATGATGATGATGTGATTCTGAGGATGGTGATTCTGTTGTTGCTGATTGTACCCACGATGACACGAATGCGAATGCGAATGCGGGTGATGATAAGGATGCTGATGATGGTGATGATGCTGGTGCTGCTGCTGCTAAATCTGATGATGATGAGGTGGAGGACGCTGATGCTGATGGTGATGATGATGATGATGATGACGACGATGATAATGATAATGATGATGCTGATGATGATGATGGTGATGATGATGATGAGTCTGATGATGCTAAGGACGATGATGGTGATGGTGATGATGATGATGATGATGATGATGATGATGATGATGATGATGATGATGATGATGATGACGATGACGATGACGACGGCGACGATGCTGCTGCTGCTGAAGATGATGATGCTGCTGATGATTATGCTGATGATTATGATGACTCACGACGACGAGGATGATGCTGCTGCTGCTGATGATAATCATAATGAAGATGCTGATGCTGCTGCTGATGAAGATGACGATGGCGATGGCGATGACGATGATGATGATAATGCTTATGATGATGATTATGATGCTGATGATCATGATGATGACTCTGACGATGCTGATGCTGCTGCTGATGATGATGGTGCTGATGATGCTGATGGTGATGGTGGTGGTGATGGTGATAATGATGATGCTGCTGATGATGATGATGATGATGATGATGATGATGCTGATGATGATGATGATGATGATGATGACGATGATGCTCTTGATAAAGATGACGAAGATGATGCTGCTAATGCGGATGCGGATGCTGATGCTGATGCTGATGTTGATGATGACTACGATGATGCTGCTGCTGCTGACGAGGGTGAGTCTGAGGCTGTGGCTGACGCAGATGCTTGTGCGGATGAGGGTGTGGATGTCATTGTACTTCTGTGTTTGGTGTGGAGGGTTTGGCAGAGCTAAGATCCTGAAGCTGTCTGATGTGTGCCTCGGCCGGCCATCAAACAGGGATGCCGCAATCAGTTTGTCCCTTCTCAAGAGGGGGGGTGACCCTTCCACTAAGTCATACTTCGTCCGCGGTGTCCCCGTTCAGAGGAGGTGAAAGACCCTGTGCTGCCCAAATTTTTCCCCGTCCCGCCCGCTGGCTCTCTCTGTCCCTCTATCAATCTCTCTCTCTCTCTCTCTCTCTGCAGCTGGTCTCACGCCGTGGGATCATGTACATTGAGGGTTGAAGGCTGAAAGGAGGAGGAGGAGGCAGAGGGGGAGGAGGTCGACGAGGGATCTACCGCCTCCTTCCTGCTCCTTTCCCCTCTCCTCCCTGCTTCTCGTCTTTATCGTCGTTTTCGTCGTCGTCATTGCCGTCGTCGTCGTCGTCGTCGTCGTCGTCGTCGTCGTCGTCGTCGTCGTCGTCGTCGTCGTCGTCCTTGTCTCATCCTCCTCCCTCTCCATTCTGCGGTTGTTCGTCCTCGGCCGAGCGCATCGGATGACCGTGGAGGTGCCGCAAACGTTGTCGTCTTCCTCCTCACCTCCCGCCTCCCGCTCCCCTCTTTCCCCCGCTTTGCCTTCAGCGTCTCTTCTGTCCTTCAGTGTGATCGGGTGTAGACGGGAGTTGTCCTGGGCTCCCGCGGAGGCCCTGGTGGTTCCCAAGACGTCTGCGCGAGGTTCCAAAGAGGCCCCGAGGCCCCGAATCGGTCCCTGGGAAGGGGGCTTCTCAAGCCATGCGCACCTCAGTCGGCGCCCGAAGCCGCGCTGCTTCTGGTGCCCGTGACCGCGCTGAGAAGGGGGGGCTACGGGGGCGGGGCCAGGAAGCCTCTTCGCGCGTGGTGGGGTTGTCCGGTGTGGGAGAGGCCCCGGGCACCATCTGGCTCCACAGGGGGGCCCCCAGAGCGCCCCTTGAGGGCCCCTCCCATTCGCCCCCCATTCAGGAGGAGAAGGAGCGAGGAGCGAGGAGCGAGGAGCGAGGAGGAGGAGGAGGAGGAGGAGGAGGAGGAGGAGGAGGAGGAGGAGGAGGAGGAGGAGGAGGAGGATATATACATATATATATATATATATATATATATATATATATATATTGTTCGGGGCACGGCGACTGGACTGTTGCTGTCGGAGCGCGGACGGAGAGTGCCGCACGAGCAAACAAGGGGGCCATACGCACCTTTCTGCCGTGTGTGTGTGTGTTCACGCAGAGGTATTGCCGAACCTGCGTCTTGTACCTCTATCGAAGACGCCTGCGGCGAATCACCGCCGCCCCTTGCCCCTTTGGAAGCGCCTCTGTCGCCGACAGCTGGGCACGAGCTAGGCCAAGCTGTCGGGCCAGTTGTTCCCCGAGTCGGTTTGGAAAGACTTCGGGGAACGCATGGTGGAGCAAGAAGAGGAGGAGGGGGAGGATGAGGAAAGACGAGGAGGAAGAGGAGGAGGAGGCGGAGCAGGAGGAGGAGGAGGAGGAGGCCTCTTGGGCGCCTCTTGGGGCACTCTTGGGGCCTCCTGGGAGCTTCCTGGGGGCCTCTCGGAGGATTTTTTGGGGCCTTTGGGGGCTTCTTTGGGGCCTATTTGGCCGTCTTAGGGCGTTCCTGGCTTTTCTGACGCCGTCGGAAGCCGTCTTGGGGGCCTGTCTGGGTCGTCTTGGGGCCCTCTTGGGGCATACCAGGGGTTCTTAGAGGCCATCTTGGGCGTCTTGGAGGCCTCTTGGGCCGTTTTGCGGCATCTTGGGGCCGTCTTGGGAGCCTTTTAGGCCGTCATGGGGACACCTTGGAGGAATCTTGGGGCGATCTTGCGGGCCTCTTGCGCGGTCTTGAGCCGTCGGAATGCCGAGAAGAAGCAAATTCTAACATCTTTCAAACACCTTAGGACAATCAATGATTTTGGCCTCTTCGTGCCCTCCTGGAGGATCTCTTGGAGGCCTCTTGGGCCCTCTTGGAGGCCTCTTGGGGGCCTCTTGGAGGCCTCTTGGGGGCCTCTTGGGCCATCTGGAGGCCATCTTCGGCCGTCTTGGGTGCATCTTGGGCAGTGTTGGAGGCATCTTGGGGCCATCGTAGCCGTCTTGGAGGCCATCTTGGCCGTCTTGGAGGCTTCTTGGGCCCAATTGGGGCCGTCTTGGGGGCCTCTTGGGCCGTCATGGGGCCATCTTGGAGGCCTCGTTGGGCGATCTTGGAGGCCTCTTGCGCGGTCTTGAGCCGTCGGAATGCCGAAAAGAAGCACATGCCAACATCTTTCAAAAACCTTGGGACAATCAATGATTTTGGCCTCTTTGGGCCCTCCTGGAGGATCTCTTGGAGGCCTCTTGGGCCGTCTTGGAGGCCTCTTGGGGGCCTCTTGGGCCATCTGGTGGCCATCTTCGGCCGTCTTGGGTGCATCTTGGGCAGTGTTGGAGGCACCTTGGGGCCATCTTAGCCGTCTTGGAGGCCATCTTGGGCGTCTTGGAGGCCTCTTGGGGCCGTCCTGGGGCCCTCTTGGGGCCGTCTCGGGGGCCTCTTGGGCCGTCATGGGGCCATCTTGGAGGCCTCGTAGGCGATCTTGGGGCGATCTTGGGGGCGTCGGAAGGCCAAAAAGAAGCAAATGCCAACATCCTTCAAAAACCTGTGGGAAATCAATGATTTTGGCCTCTTCGGGCCCTTCTGGAGGACCTCTTGGAGGCCTCTTGGGCTGTCTTGGACGCCTCTTGGGGGCCTCTTGGGCCGTCTTGAGCCATTTGGATACCATCTTAGGCCGTCTTGGGTGCATCTTGGGCCGTCTTGGAGGTAGCTTGGGGCCATCTTAGCCGTCTTGGAGGCCATCGTGGCCGTCTTGGAGCCATCTTGGAGGCCATCTTGGGCCATCTTGGCCGTCTTGGACGCGACAGGGGGAACCACCCGGGCATTTTCCAGATTGTCCAGGACCCCGGCGGGACGGGCCGAAGCCCCAGGGGGAGTTCTTTTTTGAAAAAAGAACAAAAACCCAAACCGAAAGGATCTAGCACGCCGGGCACCCCTGTGTTGAATCAAAAAGAGGCGAGCCTGCGTCTCGTACCTCTACCTAGTGGCCTTCGGCCCATCCCGCCACCGTGCCCGGGTTGTGGGGCAGAGTTCTGAGGGATGCTTCTTGGGGTCTTTTCGGCGCGCTCTCGGAGGCCTCTTGGGGCCAAGGCCTCTCGGGGGCCTCTTGGAGCCCTCTTGGGAGCCTGTGCCTCCTGGGAGCCCGTGTGCTTACATCGGTCCGAATCGCTGCCAGCATGCCAGCACACGCGGCGCCGCTGACTCTGCGGTGTGCTCGCTGGCAGGGCCTCGGCCCCCCCTGCGGCCGCCGTGGAGGGCGACGGCTGGCCTCCGAGTTCCCCAGTTCCCCCCCTTCGCGGCTGCGGCCCACCGAGGCCCTCGGGGCAACCGAGGGCGGGACCCCGTGAGCGATGATCCCCATCCGAGGACGACTTCTAGGCCTCCTGGATGGGTTCCGAGTAGATGGGGTCGGAGGATCGCGCCGCATCGCCGAGGCGTCGACGATGCGGCTTGATGTGGACCCTGTGTTTCCCCACGCCGACGTCGCCGGTGCATCGCCGATGCATCGCCAATACATCGGCGATGCATTGGCGATGCGGCGCGATCCTTCGACCCCATCTAGGAGGCCTCTAGACTCGTGTGCACCGTAACGCGTTGGCGTCTCCCGAGGCGTCGTCGAGCCTCGACCCAGGGATGGTACGGTGCACAGCTGTTCGGTCCTCGGAGCCGAGCAACTGTGCTCCGTACCGCGTCGGGGCGGGGTCTGAGGGGAGTCCAAGCATGGTGCGGTGCATGGGCGCCGTTGTCGCACTCGGGGCAACCGAAGGCGGGACCATGTGATCGATGTTCCCCTGGACGTGTGCTGTCCCAGTGCGCGTTTACCCCGCTCAGCCCCGCCGACAGTGCGCAGCTGCGTCGGCCTTTATTCGGCAACCGAGATTTTAAGGTTGCCCTTGCTGGCGCTCCAACCCCACGAGTGGCCAGAGCGGGGGCATGGATAAAGTCTCGGCCCCCGGATGCCATAATTACCAACGTGGTGCCCACAGTGGAAGGCAGCAGCAGGGGCATGGATAACACATCGATCGCCTACTGATTGCGCCGCCTGCGTTGTGTTGAAAGGCTTTGGTAAGCACACGCGGGCGCTAGGTCACGTCCTGATGATCATCGATGCGAGCAGGACCTTGTGGGCGACGACTGCCAAGTCCGAGCGCCAGGGCAACCGAGGTCTAGGGGACCGCCAGAGAAACCAGCCCACAGAGCCAATTCTTCCCAGACCGAGCAGAGGTCGTTGGTGTGAGCGCTGCTTTTGAGGGCTTCACGCTGTGGTGAGTGGGCTCTGTTCCTTGGGATCCCGATGTTTGCCCCTGCGATCCCGCTCGCACGGTCCCAGCCTGAGTTGCCCCCGTTGATTGGGTGCCTGGTCGTGGGTTATGGGGTCCCGCTGGTAGGGCCCCTACATATGTTGCCTTCGTTCGTTGGATTTTCAGTTGTCGCTTGTAATGTTCTGTCCATTGTGTCCCCCATCTTAGTTACCCCCGTTTTTCGGATGTGGGTTGGTTTCGTACAGGATCCCGCCTGTGGGATCCTGGGTACAGTTGCCCCTGCTCGTTGTGTTCCCAGTGGCTGCCCATAAACTCATTGCTTCGGCTCGTTCCGTTCGATGGGCTTTTGAGCGTGTGCTCCCAGGGTCTGGCCCATAGAGTCTCGGCGTTGGTTTCCCCCTTTCGCTGTTTTTCCTGTTATTACCCACAGGGTCCTGCTCGAAGTTGCCCCCCTTCGTTGGATTTCCGGTGGCATTAGATTCCGCACAGATGGGCCCATGTTAGGATGATCTCTTAGCCTTCTGCAGTATGGATATGCGTATGTGAGTTTTGGTTCGGTGTATCCAGGTTTTCTTGAGCTATGTCTGATGTCTCGTGTGTGTGTGTGTGTGTGTTTGTTTGTCTGTTTGTTTGCATGTATGTATGTATGCATGCATGCAGGCATGCATGTATATATGCGTATACGTACGCACGTATGTAGATGTTTCAGTATGTATGCATGTGTGTATGGTTGTATGTATGTTATGTTTGTATGCAGGTGTGTGTGTGCACACATACATGTATGTATGCATGTGTATGTGTGTATACATGTAGACATACATGTATGTGTGTATGCATGCATGCATGCATGTATGTATGTATGGATGTACGCATGCATGCAGTTATGTATACACGCACACATGCATGTATGTATGTATGCATGCATGCATGCATGTTGTGTGTGCTATGTACGTTGTGCATGTTGTATATGCCAGGAATGCCATGTATGTTCTGCATGTCATGTCTGTAGTTAGGTAGACATGGAGGTAGGCTGGTAGACATTGCGACATAATATAATGCAATCTGATGTATTGTAATGTAATGACATGACATGTACATGTATTCTATGGGAACGTATTACACTATGATGTATTGTAATATAGTGTAGTGTACTGTAGTGTATTGTACTGTAATGCAACGTGATGTAGTGTATGTGTGTATGTACGTATGTATGTATGTATGGATGTATGTATGTGCGTACGTACGTACGTGCGTACGTACGTACGTACGTACGTATGTATGTATGTATGTATGTATGTATGTATGTATGTATGTATGTATGTATGTAGTGTATGTATGTAGTGTATGTATGTAGTGTATGCATGCATGCATGCATGCATGCATGCATGCATGTATGTATGTATATATGTATGTATCTATCTATCTATGTATGCATGCATGTATGTATGTATGTATGTATGCATGCATGTATGTATGTATGTATGTATGTGTGTATGTATGTATGTATTTGTGTATAGCTGTATGTTTGGATGTGTGTATATGTACACATATACATATACATCTCTACACATAGTTCTGTGTGTGTGTGTGTGTGTTCGTCTCGTGTCGTCTCGGGCGCCTGGCCGCACTGTGCACCCACTTGCCTGCCTCCTTGACACGCTCCATCCTGCACCCCTTCACCCTCGCTGCCCACGCCCGGGTATGCGCATGGCATGGCCGATCCCGTTCGGATCCCGGCCCCGTCTTCTCAGGGGCAGGCCGCGCGCGCACGCTCTCGTTGTGTGGGGACGTTCTCCGCCTCATCGCTGCGTCCGAGGTCGCAATCGCCAAAACGTCTGTGTGCGCGCGTCCGCAACATTATTGGTCTCCGTCTCAGTAAGAGGACTAGGACCACCCTTTGAATGATACAATCTCTGCCCGCTCGGGGATCTCCCGAGCTGCAGCTTCACTGCCGTCTTTGCTCGAGGTCGTCTCACGGGCCCGTCGGGCCTGAGGCGCTGGCCCGTTGACAGCTGGTCGTTCCCTGTGCTGCTCCCGCTTCGTTGCAGAGAGTCGAAGAATACATAACTACATAAACATGTTTGCCAGCATGGATCCCCAAACAGTGAGTCCCTGCAGTCTGGGAGCGCATGCTATGTGGTGCACGCTAGGTATGTGGTGCAATCTATGCGCGCTTCATGCACTGGTGCGATACATGCGTGGTGCAAGCTATGTGGTGTAAGCTATGTGGTGGAAGCGATGTGGTTCAAGCTCAGCGGTGTAAGCTATGAAATGCAAGCACGGTGATATAAGCTGTGCAATGCAAGCGGTGTAGTGCAAGCAGCGCGAGGCGCCCACGAGGCGTCCACTGCCGTCAACCATGCGAAACCGTGGCAGACTCGCCCAGCACACGGGGCGCCACGAGGAGGCCGCTCAATAGGCGAAACCTTGGCATAACCGCCCAGCACACTGGGCGCCCTCGAGGCGCCCACGACCGCGCACCGGATGAAACTTTGGCAGATCCAGCCAGCGCACGGGGCGTTCACAAGGCGCCCGCGACCGCCCACCTGCCGACTTTACGGCATGCCCGTTCGATTGCTCCAGGAAACAGGCCAGAATCCCCAAGCTCAGCCACTGTTTGGGGAATGAACTTTGGGAGGTCTCTGCGGATTTCATGGATCGGAGACTTGACACACCAGGCGGCGCCTCTTGCGCTGGCCGTAGCGTGTTCCGTTTTTCAGGTCGGGTTGTCCAGTGCCGATCCCAGAAATCGCGCGAAGCCAGGAACATGTATGTTTATGTACTTCTGTATTCTCACGAGAACGCAAGATGACAAAGGCCGTCTACTACAAGCTGTGGGCCACCACGGCCAACTACAGCCACAGGAAGAGCTACGGCTGGTACCAGGTGTGGGCCCGGCTCGCGCCCTGGTGTTACGCAGTCGTGCCTGGAGCTGCCTGGTTCACCTTCGGCTGGTGGAGCGACGAGTGGAAGAAGATTCTTCAACAGGCTTGCGCCAGTCCGCCGACCCCCAGAGTAGAAGATGTGCGGCATCCGATCTCGTATGTGTTGTCTGCCGCTTCCCGTCATGCTGCCCGCCTGTAGTTGCTGCTGATGTGTCCTATCCCTCCGCGTCTGCTGCGAAGCTTCTCGGAGGGGCGGGGGCAGCCAATCACCTCACGCGCCTTCTCCCCCCTGGCAAGCGGGTGTCTGCGGCTTACGCTTGGCATTTACGAGCCTCCCATTGTCCACTGGGACATGAACATGACAACGTACCGCTCCGACTTCGTGAAGTACCACGCCCAGTACCCGGGTATCCCGTACAAGTGAGGGGAGGGCAGGACGTAGGCGATTGTCCCCTCCCTCCCCCTCGCGAGCCCTTCTTTCGGGGAACAAGCAATGACATCAACATAAAAACTCGGGCGTCCGCGCAGATTTCTTAGATTGGCGCTGGACCCTCCTCCCTGGCGCTCGGAGCGCGCCAGAGGCGGCGCCGGAGGTGCCGCCAGGGGACCCCAGCGCCGATCCGAGGATTCCGCACGGACCTCCGAGTTCCTCTGTCTATGCCATTGGTTGTTCCCCTATTCTTAGGCCCCTCCCGGATCTTCAGCACGGGCCCCAAGGAGCGCCGCGAGAGTGCCCTCTTGGGGAGACCCCCCGCTGGTCCTCAGGAGGCCCCGTCTGCGCCGTCGGGGGAGGCCGGAGCCAGAAACGTTGATGCCCTACCAGCGGCGGCGATGCCCCGCGTGCAACGCAGCACACCTGCACGGCCAAGAAGGGATGCGCCTCACAGTTTCGTTGTTTTACCCCGCAGGCCAACTGGGGTTCTGGTTTTCTTCCCGCCCGCGTCGCAGCCGCGTCTCCTCACACACACCACCCCTTCTCCTCCTCCTCTCCCTTTCTTGCCTCAGCCACACGCAACACATACATGAGACACGCGTCTACATACAGCCGCACACACACACACACACGAACACACACAACACACAGCACACACCATACAACGATCTTGCACACCTGGCGTGCTCGATGCATCATATGCATGCGCCACATACTGGGCACCCACATAAGACACACGTCCACGTACAGCCTGACACAACACATAATTGCACGTGACATGCAGACGCAGATCTACTCACCCACTTGGCACGCACACAACACAAAGCAAACGCACAAGTTTCGCAGGGCGTGGCAGGCGTGGCACTTTCTCGACACCAAAGTGGGCGCACAGGGGGTGATTCCTGAGCGCGGCCTCTGTGCGGACCGTGGGGCAGGGCACGACAGGCGTGGTACGTTTTCGTTTTCGACACCAGGGGGTGCGCGCAGGGATTGGTCCCTGATCGCGGCCTCTATGCGGGCCGTGGCGCAGGGCACGGCAGGCGTGGCACCTTCTCGACACCAAAGGGGGCGCGCAGGGGATGGTTTCTGAACTCGGCCTCTATGCGGGCCGTGGCGCAGTGCACGGCAGGCGTGGCACTTGGACACGCCAAAGGGGGCGCGTGGGCGGTGGTCCCTGAGCGCGGCCTCTGTGCGGGCCATGGCGCAGGGCACGGCAGGCGTGGCACTTTCTCGACACGAGAGGGGGTGCACAGGGGGTGGTCCCTGAGCGCGGCCTCTATGCGGGCCATGCCGCAGGGCACGGCAGGCGTAGAATTTTCTTGACACCAGAGGGAGCTCGCGGGGGGTGGTCCCTGAGCGCGGCCTCTATGCGGGCCATGCCGCAGGGCACGGCAGGCGTAGAATTTTCTTGACACCAGAGGGAGCTCGCGGGGGGTGGTCCCTGAGCGCGGCCTCTATGCGGGCCATGCCGCAGGGCACGGCAGGCGTAGAATTTTCTTGACACCAGAGGGAGCTCGCGGGGGGTGGTCCCTGAGCGCGTCCTCTATGCGGGCCATGCCGCAGGGCACGGCAGGCGTGGCACCT